TTAATTACAAAGGGGAAAAATAGTAACTTCACAATGGGCAAAGGTACTGGCAGATACTACCTTAACTAGGTGGTCCAAGTTACTATTACCAATGACTAATACATGTTTCCTGATACGATGTACTGAGAAAGGTACAACATACTCGGTCTTTCTGTCAAAAACCCATAACCTGGGCCGGACACAGTGGCTTACGCCTGTAATCCTAGCACTCTGGGAGACTGACTGGGTGGATTAGTTGAGCTCAGGACTTCAAGACTAGCCTGAGCAAGAGCAAGACCCACTTTCTCTAAAAAAAAAAAATAGACATTATAGCAGGCACGTGTAGTCTCAGCTACTTGGGAGGCTAAGAGGATCACTTGAGTCCAAGAATTTGTGGTTGCTGTGAGCTATGATGCAACAGCACTCTACCCAGGGCGAGAGAGTCTCATTCCATCTCAAACAAACAAATAAATATATAAAATAACCTAAAGATAATCATGGGAGACACCAAGTGCCTGGTCTGGACTCTCCAAAAACGTCACTGTTACAAAAGACAAAAGCTGAGGAAGAGTTCCAAACTAAGTGACTAAAGACATCTCAATAAAAAAGCATTTGACAAAATCTAAAGGCCATTCATAAAAAAAAACCACTCAACAAACTAGGAAGAAGAGTTCTTCAAGCTTTAAAGTACATCTACACTGGTTTGGCACCCGTAGCACAGGGGTTATGGCACCAGCTACATACACCGAAGGTGGTGGGTTCAAACCCAGCCCTGGCCAGCTAAACAGCCATGACAACTGCAACAAAAGATAGCCAGGCGTTGTGGCGGAAGCCTTTAGTCTCAGTAGCTTGGGAGGCTGAGGCAAGAGAATCGCTTAAGCCTAAGAGTTGGAGGTTGCTGTGAGCTGTGACGCCATCGCACTCTACTGAGGGCAATATAGACTCTGTCTCAAAAAAAATAAAGTGCGTCTACAAAAAATATATATATCCACAGATAAAATCATATTTAATGGTGAAAGAATGAAAGCTTCTAAAGATCAGGAATAAGAGGTCCTCCCCAACCACCTCTATTCAATACTATAGTAGAGTGACATAGATGGCAGCTGCCACAGGCTTGGACAATTTATGAAAATTGAATATTCAGTCTCAAATTAGAATGTGGAACTAAATACCCAGAAGCACTCTCCTATGTAAGATTTGCAACAGAAACTAAAAAGAAGGGAGTTAATAGTTCTAATGGAGTAGTAAGCCCAAGAGCCATATCAGTGCTAGGAAAAATGGCAGAATTCATAAAGCATCAATGTCCTACAAGAGCTTTAGCACTTAATGATATGTAAAGAAAATATGTAACTCCCTCGTTCACCTAAAGGACCGTGTTACAGCAATTAATCAAAAAGAACTGCAGACCCTTCCCCTTCCACCCATTTGATCTAAGCAATCTTCATTGTTCACAGTAGTAAATTTTCTAGATACGTCTTGTAGACCCCCAACTCAAAGTACTGGAAAAGAAGCTCCCATCCAAAGGCAATTTATCTTAAGATACTGTAAGTGTTACTATTTTGTTGTTGTTCATTTGAAATACTAAGTTTGCTATTAAAAAAATACTGTACTGGAAGTTCCAGCCAGGGCAGTTAGGCAAGGAAGTAATTATTATATTTTATAGTTACAGTGAGCTATGATCCAGCCACTACACTGCAGCTTGGGCAACAGAGCAGGACCCTGTGTCCTTTAGAAAAGAAAAATGAAAAGATAACCCACAGAATGGGAGCAAATATTTGCAAATCATTTATCAGGTAAGGTTATAATAGTAATAGGTAGAATATAAAAAAAAGAACAAAAAAAATTGTAAAATGGGTGAAGAGTGGCTTGGCGCCCGTAGCTCAGTGGTTAGGGTGCTGGCCACATGCACCTGGGCTGGTGGGTTCGAACCCAGCCCGGGCCTGCTGAACAACAATGACAATAACAACAAAAATAGCCAGGCGTTGTGGCAGCCGCCTGTAGTTCCACCTACTTGGGAGGCGGAGGCAAGAGAATTTGCTTAAGCCCAAGAATTTGAGGTTGCTGTGAGCTGTGTCGCCACAGCACTCTACAAGGGCAACATAGGCTCTGTCTCAAAAAATAATAATAATAAAAATAATAAAATGGGCAAAGAATCTAAGTAGACCTATCTCTAAAGAAGACATACAAATGCCCAATAAGCACAGGAAAAGATGTTCAACATCATTAGGGAATGCGAATCAAAATCACAACAAGACCTCACTTCATACCCATTAGGACAGCTATTATTAAAAAAAAAAAAAAGGCAGAAAATAGTAAGTGTTAGCATGTATGTGAAGGAACTGGAACCCTGTTGATGGGAATTTAAAATGGTATAGCCACCATAGAAAACAGATGCAACAGTTCCTCAAAATATTAAAAATAGAATAACTATACACTCCAGCAATTATACTCCTGGGCACATATCCAAAACAGGGACTTGAAAAGGTATTTGTACACCCATATTCACAGGAACATCATCCAGAATAGCCAAAAAATGGAAGCAACAAAGTGCCCACCCATGACATGTGGATAAACAAAATGTGAGATACATATACAAAGGAATATTACTGAGCCTTCAAAAGGAAGGAAATTCTGCACATGCTACAACATGGATGAGCCTTGAGGACATTATACTGAGTGAAATAACCCCGTTACAAAGGACAAATACTATATGGTTGCACTATATAACCTCACTATATGAGGTTCCTGTGAGTAGGTAACTTCATAGAAACAAAAGTGAATAATGGTTGCCAGAGCTGGGGGAAGGGAGGTTGGGGAGTGAGTGTTGAATGGACACAAGAGTTTGAGCTGGGAAAAATGAGAGCTCTAGAGATGGATGGTGCTGAAGATTCACAACAAAGTGAATGTTCTTAATGCCACAAAACTGCATTTCAAAACGGTGGAAAGGGTAATTTTGTTGTGTATATTTGACCACACACACAAAGAAAGGAAACTGGGAGATTAAAGAAGTTTGACAACAAATGACCTTGGATTGGATCCTAAACCAGAAAAAGGACATTATTGGGATAATTGGCACAACCTGAACATGGATTGTAAATTAAATAATTAAATCAATGTTAAAAATTTTACGACTTTGATAATAATTGTACTCTGAAAAAATAATCTCTTTTTTAGAAGATAATCAGTGAATACTTAGGTATAAAAGAGCAAGATGTACGCAAATTACTCTCAAATGGTTGCTGGGGAGAGACACACCCATATATACCGAGGGTATAATAAAGCCAAATGATAACAATGGGACAATCTTGATGAAGGTGCACAATGTACAATTCTTGTAACTTTATTGTAAGCTTGAAATTATTTCAAAATAAAGTTTTTTAATTACTTTATCCAAAACAGGACTTCTAATCTCTCCCAAAACCTGCTCCACCCACAGCTACCTCCATCCTAGAAAATGACAGATTGACCTCTCTAATTCCACCACAGCCAAACGAGGCCTTGTCTTTCGCACTCTCTCCCATCCACCCCCAAGTCCTGTTGGCTGCACCTTCAAAATACTTTCAGAACCCCAACCCTTCTCATCACTACCATATCTACCCAGCCTAGGTCAACATCGCCTCTTGCTTTATAGCTCCTCTCCCAGCTTCCCTCCCTGGCCCTTCCAGGCTATTTTCAACACAAGAGTTTCTATCAAACTCTAAACCACATCCTGCCACCCTTCAGCTCACAGCGGCCTCACATGGATCTCAGGCCTCTTCTCCCACCCCTCTCTTGCCCTATAGCCTTCCTGCTGCTCCCCAACTGCCCAAATGTCCCTCGTGGGTGGTCCCCTCCAGCCACTCCAGCACACACTCCCCCCCAGCATCCCCCTCCTCTCTTGGTTCTTAGAAGCAATGAATAACATCCCCACACTGAGGAGCTACTTTCCTTCCATAAAACACGCGCTTCCTGGCTCGGCGCCTATAGCTCAACCGGCTAAGGCGCCAGCCAC